CAAGAATGGAAAAATAAGCACCACATGTACTCACCAAGAAACTGATTTCACTAATCAACACCTAAGTGGACATATAGGAATAATAGTTATCGGGCGTCGGGCAGATGGGGGGGAGGAAGAGGGGAGAGGTATATACATACATAATGAGTACAGTGCGCACCATTTTCGCGATGGACACGCTTGTAGCTCTGACTATAGGGGGCAAAGGCAACATATATAATCTAAACATTTGTACCCCATAATGTGCAGAAACAATAAAAATAAAATAAAATAGCTACTGAACATTTCCCATGTACCAAACATGGTTTTAGGCACTTTATAAGTAGTATGGAATTCATTCCTTACAGAATAATTCTATAATTATTCCTGTTCCACAGATGAGGCAGCTGAGGCAGAGAGGTTAGGGAATTTGCTCAAGGGCACACAAGCCAGCGAGGTAAAGTTGAAGTTCAAAGCCAGACTGTCTCCAGAGCTCAGGTCCTCAGCATCCCTCTTCAGTGCAGGTCCTAGACCCTGAGCACATAGCACAGCAAGTTAGTGATGTTTATTGTGATGTCCTGCATCATCCAAGAAAGAAAAAAATGAAAGCATGGACATTAAATTTGCTTTCATATTAATTAATTTTAAAAATTTTATCAGGGCTATATAAACATGGGCATAGTTCTACAAGGCCTGTTATGAAAAGCCAGCAGGCTCCCCTCCCCCAGCCCACTTCCTGCTCCCCAGAGTCAACAACTCAGCTCTTGTAGTTAGCTAACTCTGCCAGCAGTTACACCCCTGGTCTTGAAATGACGCACTTATATTTCTATGGCCAATTTTTCAGTTTAGGCATTATCTATCGATAGTTCATCATGGAAGAAGAGAATTTAGCTCATTTCTCCACATACCCTTACCATACATGTATACCATTTTCATCCCTTTCTTCTCCTGAAACACATACGTTACAATCTTAGTTAGATCAATAGGTCATGGGCTCATGGTTTCTATCTTTAGGCCTTCCCTCCTGGGCTGGGCAGAATCTCCAGAGAGGACTGTTGTAGCCACCTCTTGTGCAGTATGCTTGCATTCTGGGAGTCCAGTTGTGTCGGTGAGGAGTGGGTGGTGATGGAGTATCTCAATATTTACTATGTCACATCTCATTGCCTACTTCTGCCTCCATGGCAGCTGGTGTGCCTGAGGGACCCTGAGGGCTTTACCCTTTCCAGAGAATAAACCTTCAAGCTCTGCCAGAGCTGGGGGGGGGGTGGGCACTCACAGGCTGGCAGGTGTAGGGACTGGGATCTGGGGGTGGGCTTCCATCCTTCCTTTCTGTTCCAACTTAGTAATTTCCATTTTAAAAAACTACTTTCTTGAGGTATGATTGACATATAAAAAGCTATATATTTGATATACACATTTCGATGAGTTTGGGAATATTCACCTGTGAAACCATCACCACCATCAAGGCTGTAAATGTGTCCATCACCTCTCAGAATTTCTCTCCATTTAACATAAGATCTACCTGCTTAGCAAATTTTAAGTACATAATACAATATTGTTAGTTGTGGGCACTACGGTATTAGTAGATCTTCAGAACTCATTTAACTTGCAGAATTGAAATTCTGTTCGCTTTAGCCATCACCTTTCAGTTTCCCCCTCCTCCCAGTCCCTGGCAACCAGCAGCATACTGTCTGCTTCTGTGAGTTTGACTATTTTAGATTCCATGTAAAAGTGAGATCATACAGTATTTTTTTATGAGTCTGGCTTATTTCACTTACATGATATTCTCCATGTCCATCCATGTTGTCACAAATGGCAAGATTTCTTTATTTCTTAAGGCTTAATAATTTTTCATTGTATACATATATAGCATATTTCCTTTACCCACTCATTGTCAATGGACATTTAGTTTGTTTCCAAGTCTCGGCTACTGTGAATAATGCTGCAATAAACAAGAGAGTGCAGGTATCTCTTAGAGATCCTGATTTCAATTCCTTTGGATATATACCCAGAAGTAGGATTGCTGGATCCTATGGTATTTATATTTTTTAATTTTTTGAAGAAACTTCATACTGTTTTCCATAGTGGCTGTACCAATTTACATTCCCACCACATCCTTGCCAACACTTGTTATTTTTTGTTTTTTTAATAATAGCTATCCTAACAGATATGATCAAAATCATTGTGGTTTTAATTTGCATTTCTCTTTTGGTTTCTGTTTGCATGGAATATTATTTTCCATCCCTCCCTGTGAGTCTATGCTTGCCCTCAAATCTACAGTGACTCTCTTGTAGGCAGCAAATAGTTGGATCTTATCTTTTTTATATACTCTGTCATTCTATGTCTTTTGATTGGATAATTTAATCCTTTTACATTTAAAGTAATTTTTAACAGATAAGGACTTACTATTGCCATTTTGTCCGTTGTTTTCTGTTTTGTAGTCCTTTTGCTCCTTTCTTGTTCTCTTGGTGTGCTGAGTTGGTTTTAAAGCAGACTTCTGTCATTCCATCTGTTTTGAGCTCCAGCTTTACCTTCTCCCAACTTCTAGAGGTTTGTGGACTCTGAATCCCTGAGACTTTCTGGATGTTCTGTGACGAATTGCTTCTCAGAGTTCTCTACAGGCAGATAAGGAGTCAGCTTTTCAAGGTCTGCTAATCGGTTTCCTCTTGTCCCTCTACCTTCTAGCTTCCAACATTTTGTTGCTTCTACTAACCTGATCATTGTCCTTGTGAGTTTATGTCTTAAAGAAATAAAATTCTCTTTATTATTACATGAGTGAGATTTTGAGAGGCAGCCGAACTACATGTACATGTTTAGTATGCCATCTTTATACTGAACTCTGAAAGACATTTTAGAAAACTTTCACTGCAAAGGTACCTACAAAAGTTTCTTTCTTTTTTTTTTCTTTTTTTTTTTTGCTTTAAGGGGAAAACCAACAGCTCCATGAAAAATGGTATTGTCCTAATTTTACTTGGTAGCCAAAGTATAGTTCAAGAACTAGGAACATCAGTATTACCCAGGTATCACTTGGGTGCTTGTTAGAGATATAGAATCCTGAGCCCCCCCACAGGCACATTAAAAAGAATTAGCATTTTAAAAGATTCTTAGCAGATTCCTATATACATGAAGGTTGAGAAGTGCTAATATGAAATGTCACTTAACTTCCACTGTAATAAGTTAACTCTAATGAATTTTAATCTGGGATTTAAAAATCTTAGTACTTTTCCGTACTAGATTATTCTCCGAATTCTAGAGATTGCTGAGAAGGAATACACCAGTTTTCATGACAAGGTCCCTTCCCCCCTTTATAAACCACATCTATATATTTGAGTCAGCAACAGGTATGAACCAAAAATTCCATTTCATTTACTGCAAGAGATGTCAAACTCGTTATGTTCAGGTTTTTTTGGTTGCCTACTGTTCTTGAGGTGGGTGATGGCATTTCGTAGATCGGACAGACTGAGTCTTCAGTCACATTTTGAGCTGCCAAAATGAGAAGGTAGCTTCCCCTAGGGGCAAGGGATAGATTGTTTAGTTGTATGCCCAGCATCTCACCCAATGATTAGTGTTCAGCAAGTGATTGTGGGGTGAGTGAATCAAAAATAAATAAGATACAACCCATGCTTTCAAGATATCCATAAACCAACAGGGAATCCAAGAAGTAAGTTGGATAATTATCACACAGGGGTGACCAGTTCTAGAGATAGTAAGCACAAAGGAGGGGTATCTAACTCAGCGTTGCTGGCAGAAGAAGGAGCCAAAGACCTAAGCCTCTTGCTGAATAGAGCTTTGCTCTGACTTCAGTGTGTATCAGAATCACCTGGAGGGCTTGTTAAAGCACAGACAGCTGTGTCTTATCCTCAGACTATCTGAGGTGGAGGAGGCCTAAGAATGTGCATCGCTAACAACTTCCTAGAAGATGCTGGTAAAGCTGGTTTTTGAACCACATTTTGAGAACCACTGGTTAATTACAAAGAATTCTGGTGGCTGGACTCGAGCAGCTCACAGGCAGGAGGCAGGGAATGGGAGGTGACACTGAAGGCAGAAGCCTAAGGAATAGGGATTTTATTGTGGAGGTTGTGTGCGCCATTGATAGGTTTTATGGAGGAGAATGGCGGATTCCCATTTGCTTTTTGGAAGTATCACTTTGGGTGTGGTGTGGGGGATAGATTAGAGGCAGGACCAGGTTGTGGAGCAGAAAATGAAATAAGTGGTTTATCATAGCCATCCAGACAAGGGATAATACAAACTCAGAATCAGGGCAAGAGGAGGAAAGATCCTTAGGACTTGGTGGCCAATTGGAAGTGGGAGGGGAAGAGAGGGAGGAATTATGAGACCTATCAGATTTCTGGCCGGGGTCGCATTGGAATTGTGTTACTCAACATACAGGAAGAGGAGTGGGTCTGAAGCAGGGTCTTGGAAGAGAGTAAAGGAGGTAAGTTGAGTGTAGGACATGTTGGATTTGAGATGCCATCAAGCCATCTGGGTGGACCTCCCTGTAGACCATTTTATTCATGGGTCTGGAGGCCAGGAACAAGGTCTGGGAAGTAATTTGGCCCTTCCCTCCTGCCACTTCAATTTGGTCTCCTATATTTTGGGTCAGGCATTGTATTTGTAAAGAAACAATATCAATATTATGTAATCTTTAAGGGCCTTGAGAAAACGATGCTTTTCAAGATGTTTTCTCAAGAAAACACATGTTCTCTTTTGATTTGGGGAGGGGCGAAAGAAAGAGTTGAAGTCCTACCAGTCTTCTAACACCAGAAGAGGTTAATAAAGCCACCCTCTGTCTGAGAGGCCAGTCGAATTGGATCTTAGTGAGCTTGAAAGGGGAGAAATCACTTGACTGGTCTGCAAGGCCATATGACAAACAGCTGAGACTAATTAGCTGGATTGTGGGTTTTTATAGCAGTGCCTGATTTCGAAAGTTGATGGAGCGAACTGCTTTTCAAAAGGCTCTTTTGAAAACGTTTATAAGTAGGCCATTCTGACTTTAACGTTTCTCTTTGTCTTAACATTAGACAAAAAGTAACCTTCTTGAAGAGGACATGTGATTGGAAGTTGTCAATTGTGGAAGTGTTGGCAACTCTAGTCTCTAAAGTTTTAGAAAAACTGGACAAACGGTTCTCTACCCTGTCAAGGTATGGTTTTGCATTTATCTTTTTATTTTTTATTTTTTTCTTGTAATGGTTTTGAGCTCTGCCATGCCCATTTTCAAAATGCTTAAATCGTGTGCAATTGAACATAAATACCATTGCACATGTTATTATTTTTAATCAAAGACTTCATGATGTCTGCCGAGTTTCTTGGGATGAGTTTGAAAGGTGCATTTTCAATGACCAGGAAGTGAATATGAATACTGACTACATTCTTCCTTTCTTTTCTGTACTCTAACAAAGCAACACAAGCTTTTATTCTTAGATAATAGGTTGAATAAGAGAGCTAAGAAACTGAATTACTCTAAGAGTCTTGCTTATCCTCTGAGGATTTTATTGACAAAAACCCAAGCTTATTGAGATTTTGTTTCTAATATTAATAGCTTTAATGGAGGAATGTGCGTGTTTTAGTATAAGGCATATTTCTTCTATGAATTAAATCTGCCTTGAAATTATTAGTTTTGTTAGGTTTGGTAAGGGTATTGCGGCTATGTGAATCAAGGTCCGCATATTTTAGGGGGGAATGGTGAAGTGTTCAGGAGTGAAAGGTCTGGGTGATGGGTGTGCTGGGAGGTTTCATAACACAATTTTCTCCTTTTGGATATTGTATTAGTTTACTAAGGCTGCTGTAACAAAGTACCATAAAGTACCCGGTGGCTTCAAAACTGGGTGACTTCAACAACAGAAATTTATTGTCTCACTCTTCTGGAGCCCAGAAGTCCGATCAAACTGTTAGCAGGGTAGGTTCCTTCTGAGGACTGTGAGGGAGTATCCATTCCAGGCCTCTCTCCTTGGCTTGTAGATATGCCTGTATTTTCCCTGTGTCCCTCATGTCATCTTACCTCTGTTCAGGTCTGCGTCCTGATTTCCTCCTCTTATGTGGACATCAGTCATATTGGATTAGGGCCCACCCTAGTGGCCTCTTAACTTGATTACCACTATAAAGGTCTTATCTCCAAAAAGGTTACATTTTCAGATACTTTAACGTGTGAATTTTGGAGGAACACAATTCAGCCCACAACAAATACGTTTGCAAAATTTCATAGTATTGGCTGGGCATGGTGGCATTTGCCTGTAATCCCAGCACTTTGGGACACCCAGCTGGGAGGATCACTTGAGGCCGGGAGTTTGAGACCAGCCTGGACAACATGGTGAGACCTCCGTCTCTCTAAAAAAAAAAAATAAATAAATAAAGAAAAATCAGCCGGGCGAAAAATCAGGTGGTGCATGCTTGTAGTCCTAGCTACTTGGGAGGCTGAGGCAGGAGGATCACTTGAGCTCAGGAGCTGGATGCTGCAGTGAGCTATGATTGCACCACAGCACTCCAGTCTGGGCCACAGAGTGAGACCTCATCTCTAAAATAAATTAATATCACATTTTAAAGATTGCAAATACATGCAATAAACTGTTAGGCCAAGTGCCTGCACTGTGGTGGATGCTCAGTGTGTGACGATGGATAAGACACGGTCCCTGCTCACTAACTCATGGTTTAATTAAAGGTATGGATCTAGCTTTGTGAGTGTGGATGTGTTTACTTATGACTTCCATTGAGATGTAGCCACTTCCATAGTCTCATGTCCCTGGAGGCACAATCAGGCTCCTGGCACATGGACAGTCTGATATCCTATGAGAGGCAACTGGAAGGGCTCCCTTGCCCTGAGTATCCTCAACTACAGGTTAAGAGAGTACAAAGATTCTTTTTCTTTTTATTTTTTTGAGACAGTCTCATTCTGTTGTCCGGGCTAGAGTGCGGTGGCGTCAGCCTAGCTCACAGCAACCACAAACTCCTGGGCTCAAGCGATCCTCCTGCCTCAGCCTCCCGAGTAGCTGGGAATACAGGCATGTGCCACCATCACCAACTAATTTTTCCTATATATTTTTAGTTGGCCACTTAATTCGTTCTATTTTTAGTAGAGACGGGGGACTCGCTCTTGCTCAGGCTGGTTTTGAACTCCTGACCTTGAACAGTCCTCCTGCCTTGGCCTCCCAGAGAGCTAGGATTACCGGCGTGAGCCACCGCCCGGCCTCAAGGATTCTTAATGTTCATCTCTAGCCATGTCATTTTACAGGTGAAGGCTTAGAAGGGATAAAAATCATCCGGCTAATCTGTGTCAGAGACAAGGCATCCTGCCAGGTGTCCCGACTTCCGCTGCCAGGTGCTGACCAAGAAATACGACATTTTGTTTTCTTGGCCACAAGCTCATGCGTTTCACCTGGGAGTGAACCCAGAACTCCATTATCAGAAGTCACTGTGGGAAAGAGCCTTGATTACAAATTGACATTCTCTGTCGTGATTCTTAGATTATATATATATATATATATATATATATATATAAAAGTTTTGGGAGGAATGTTTATTCATGAGGATATAGAATGAGGTTGGGTTCAATACATCCCAAAGGGGTTTACCTCTGGTCGTGGTTGCTTTCTCTGTCTCTTCCCACTCTGTCCTTATCCTTCTAGACAGTGTTCAATGACCCTGCAGCCATTAGAATACAAACAACATTTTTCTTCTTTCTTGCTGCTTCTGCTGCCCACAAGACAGGAACTGTGGCAGAAACGGAGCGGGCTGATGAAACCCTGCTGCCCAGCAGGATGGCACCATGGCAACCGGGCTGCGCACGTCTGTGGCCAGGGCAGGCTGCCTCTCCCTGCCCATGTTTCAGCTTCCGCCCTCTCCAGACCTTCAGTACCTGAGTGTTCAAAAAGGAAACGGTCACCTCCCCCGAATTTCTGTTTTTCCTTCTTAGGATCAAAGCTTCCTGAGAGATCGGGCCGTCTTTTGCTATTATTCTGTTCTTCCTCCCTCTGAACTTGGTGCATTTAGAGCCAGAGCTCAGGATATAACATAGGCTGATAGCTGATGAGTCATTAATGAAGCCCATTAAAAACAAAAGCTGATTATCGCAGGAGCTATCATTTATTTGCCCTGTCTTTGCAAGAGGATGTTTTTTACCTGCGCTCCTGGTGTGGCTTCATTGGGGGGGGGGGCTGGCCTGTTGGCAGAGCAGAGGTCCCCTGGCATGGGGGCGCTGGGAGAGAGGGGCAAGGGGTGATGGATGAGGCCGGGTGCTGCTGGAGAGATGAGCTCCCATTGCTCATCTGGAGGCAGGAGCCGCTTTGCTCAAACACAGACATAAATCATCCTTCCAGAGTTGAGAGCATCAATTGTTTTGTTGTATTTTTTTCTTATCTTCCCCATTTCATACTCTATCAGGTTTTCCTTCTCAATGACATAATCTGAGCAGGGATCCTTTAGCTGTCATTTAGCTAGATTCATCACCCAGCAAAGGAGAAAATCCAGATTGCTCTACGCGTGCAGATCTGTGCTGTGGTAGCTAGCCCAGCCTGTGGGTTATCGCTGCTCAAATAATTCCCTTCCTGGTGTCCTTGGCTCTCTCTTGCTGCCCCTTATATTCTGGCCCTCTCCTCACTTTATGTATGTATGTATTTTTTGAGACAGAGTCTCGCTTTGTTGCCCAGGCTAGAGTGAGTGCCATGCTCACAGCAACCTCAAACTCCTGGGCTCAAGCAATCCTGCTGCCTCAGCCTCCTGAGTAGCTGGGACTACAGGCATGTGCTACCATGCCCGGCTGATTTTTTCTCTATATATTAGTTAGCCAATTAATTTCTTTCTATTTATAGTAGAGATGAGGTCTGGCTCTTGCTCAGGCTGGTTTCGAACTCCTGACCTCAAGCAATCCACCTGCCTTGGCCTCCCAGAGTGCTAAGATTACAGGCGTGAGTCACTGCACCTGGCCATGGCCTTCTTCTTCTTTTGAGCCCTAGTGCTGTTTTCCAAGTACCAATTAAACACAACTTTCTGGGTGTCCCTCAGACATTAGGGATATTTAATTGGTGGCGTCCCACACAGTATAAAACAGTAGTCGAGAAGGTGCCTGAGTTCAGATCTTGGTCCTGCCAGTTCTGGCTGTGTGACCTTGGGCAAGTTTTTTAACCTTTTTGAACTTTAGTTTTTTTCATCTGTAGATTGGGAACCTTATAGGGTTGTTGTGAAGACTAAATGAGTTAATGTTTTAAAGGATTTAGAGATGTTCTCATTAAGTACTAATTATAATAATCACCTTCGCAAACCTTCTTTTCCTCTCTCAGTTAATGATAATACCATCCACTCACCAAACTAAAAGTTTTGATTATCTTTAACTTCTATGCTAGTCAGTTCAGAAGTTACACTGGCCGAGTGGGGTGGCTCACGCCTGTAATCCCATGACACAGGAGGCTGAGGTGGGAGAATCCCATGAGGCCGGGAGTCTGAGGCTGCAGTGAGCACCACTGCACTAAAACAAGCTATATAGACTTCTGTCTCCTAGATATATCTTGAATTAATCCAATTACTCCCTTCTTCATTCCTACTGTCACTGACACACACGTCTCTCTCTCTCTACGTTTAGCCACTTTGGACTGCTAAAACAAACTACCATAGAATGAATGGCTTATGGACGACAGGAATTTATTTCCCACAGTTTTAGAGGCTGCTTTTGAGTCTGAGATCAGGTGCCAGCAGGGTAGAACCCCAGCAGGGTTCTGGCGAGGGCTGTCTTCCAGGTGCAGACTCCTGACTTCTTAGTGTATATTCACCTGGCAGAAAGATAGCTCTCTGGGCTCTTCCCACAAGGGCACTAATCCCATGCATGAGGGCTCTACCCTCATAACCTGATTACCTCCCGAGGCCCACTTCCTTGCACCATCACATTGGGAGTGAGATCTCAACATATGAATCTGGGGGAGACACAAACATTCAGTCCATCACACCGTAGCCTCCGCATGCTCTGTATGTTCCCAGTCTTCACGTGGCTGCCCTAGAGATCTGTCTAAGACACTCATCTCACGTCTCTCTCCTGCATAAAAAGCCTGTGGTAGCTTTCCATTGTCCAGCGGTTGGCACCCAAACTGTTTAGTGCCATCTAAGAGTGCTTTCAGGCCTAGGTACCAAACACGTTCCCATCTTTTCAGCCTCTGTCCTG